TTACAGAAAATTATGCCGGAATATTATGTATACATTGAGATAGAATGAAAGCTACTACCACTTATATTAGATACATATCATTTGAGTTAAATTAGGTTAAACGGTTAAATTTTATGATATCATAACAATTGTACATTTAACTTTCGAGATAATGGGACTATAACTTGGCGCCACTTTTTTGATATCAAATCTTTTGTATAGATGATATACATATTAATTAAGTTAAACGCAATTTTATTTAATATTATTTTTTAAAAAGAATTAAAGCTACTATCACTTGGGTTTTAGAATAAGATTTTAATGGGAATACAAAGATACGAATCATTGATTGAGTTACAATTTTTAAAAGCAATTGTACATTTAACTTTTGAGATAATAAGACTATAATTTAGCGCTACATTTTTTATATCAAATCTTTTATATAAATAATATACATATTGAAGTATTGAGTATTAGATACTAATTGAATTTAATAAGATTGTGATATAATACACTTACGTTTAAATAGGATCTTACTATACTTGACACTCTTTTTTTACCTTTTTTTAAAAAGGTAATTTTATACCAATATCAGACATTTTGTAATATTAATCATCTTTCTATATTTGAAAAGCATCTTGAGACTTTTATACTGACATTTTTTTTCTATAATGAGCACAACGAGAGTACCCTAACAACACGCGTATGTTCTGAATATGTTCTGAGAAGATCGCAATGCGTATATTGCGATCATCTCAAAATATTTTCATACGTACTGCGATCGACTAAGTACGTTCCTATGTCTGGGGTAACACCTTCCATGGAATTTCGCCGCGAATATTCGCAGTGAATGATGACAGTATTAGGAAAGGATGAAAACGGGAAGTTTTCAGTAAATTGTGGTTGCGTTCCGATATTGATTGCTAGTACTGAAAATCTATAATAAACGTGACACCCCTACCGAAAATAAGTGAAAAAAATTTTAAAAATTAAAAAAAAATAAGAGAAAGTGATGAAACATCTTTTATTTTGGTACCATCGCATGTTTCTAAAACGATCACCTAATCAACTTTCTAGTTCGATGCCGCTTCTATGTTGGGATGAAATCTACTGAAATGATGATATAAGTGAATATAGAATTTTGGCATAAAATATGATAGATATAGTTAATGAATGTTACTATATTGTCGTATAAACAGTCTCAATTTTAAAATCTCGATTGCATATGTAATTCTTGTAGATAATTTATTACATATATAAAGCCGTGAATATAATATGTTTAATGAGAATCATTTTTCTTATAAAAATTGTTTATAAATCGTTATATATATTTTGTTTACTTATTTATAAATTAGTTAATAATTATATTGAATATGCGAAATATTTTTCTTATTTATATATTATAGTTAATTTGTTAATTAAAGAAAAATAGTAATTAATAATGTTATTTCATTATTTATTTATTAAAAAATGGCTTACAAATAACGATTAAATGACGAGATATTTACAATATATCGTGACAAATATCGTTACGTTTATAGAATATATGCGCGCGATAGAAAGACATACGTATCATTTCCGTACCTCTGAGTATAACCTGAGAATATACGCGCGCGAAAAAAAAATCGAATGATACTGTTAGTGATGTTCTAACGTGGATCTCAATACGTTATAGATACAAGCAGATCACAGTACAAGCAGTACGAAAATGAGATGATTCGCAGTATGTCGCGTGCTATTAGGATAAATAGGATAGAGAACAAAGAAACGAGCGATATAACGTAAATGAAATAATACTTTTACGTATAGAAATAATACTTTATGAAATAATACGTGAAATAATAAATAATACTTTTACGTATAGAAATAATACTTTATATAATTACATTATTGCAAATTCAAATTTTAAATTTACATATATTATATAATAATATTAATTTATAATAATATTAATTACAATAATATTAATTTCAAAAATACTTATTTATTGATTTTTATGTTTATTATTGATTTTCACGTTTTTATTTACTAATAATTTTTATTTTATTTTATTGAATATAAACCTCCTTATTTTTTGATACAGTTTCGCGAATTTATTATTTTTTAAAATAATTTTTAATATTGGTTGCTTGAGATAGCTGTAAGACATTCAATGTCCAAAATCACAATGATAGTTGTAATTTTACACATAACTTTTTTTAAAATATATAATAAAAGAATTATTATGATAATTAAATAATTAATAATCATATTTAAATTAAATAAATAAATAATCATTGAATAATCAATAATTAATCAGAACGAGAGGGAAAGAAAGAAAAGCGCGACGTATAGAGACACGGTCTTTGATTTGCACTAGCGTCGAGTGTGTGAGACAGTGATGAGCACCGAAATTCGGTATCACGTCACGATTATGCTTTCTCTCTCGATTGCGCGTCTTGCGTTAAGGATGCAACATCGAAGACACTTTCTAACTGTTATAAATTTTCTTACTTATCGACCCTACGGATTATCGACGGAGGATAAGGCCGATAAGTCAGGGCCACTGTAGCATCGAGCGAATCATTGATAGGCAGTGTACATTAGCTCTACTTGGGCTCAATAGCGCCTCGGTGACAGAAATTGCAACTATACATTGGTACTGGGCGACGACGATAATGATGTTTCTTAAAGTAAAAATTTCCAAATCGGACTTTGCGTAACAGCATCTCCGCTCATAGAGTACGTAGCAGAAAAATAAAAATACTTTTATTATGCAAGTTGAGCTCAAGCTTATTTAGAGCTTGATCGGTTTAGTTATTATTGAGAATCCGATAATTTCGGATGCTCGCATCTCGCCGACTCGCGTAAAGTCACACAGTACTGTTCTCGGTTGACTTGACACTCGAGACACCGTGTCTCCTGATTATAAAACTTCTGTATGAAACGCTTTTTTACATTTTGAATTGTTTTTGAGATATAATGAAAAAAATTTTAAATCCGCTTTACATACAAAAGGTAATTTTGTTTTTAAAAACCGTTTTTGATATCAATTAATATTTCCTATTCATATGCTTATAACTTATATGTATACAAAGTTTCATTAACATCCATTGCTCTCGTTCGACAAACGAATATTAGTGTTCTCATATGAGCGCTGCGCCGCACTTGTATGTATGTCATTCATCAGTGCAGCATTGCCAAATAAGGAAAATATATTTTCTTATATCATATGGATGAGATCGATAGTTAATCGAATTGAGCGTTGAGAGAAAAAAAAATTAATCAAGGAAATAAAAATAGCAATATAGAATATTGAGAAAATTACAAATAAGATTGAATCAATTATTTGCGTTAAAAATTTTTTTATTATTCCATGTACATGTATTAATTGTGCCTTCTAATTTTTAGACAATAAATAACAAGTTATAATAAGATTTTATAAGATTCAATAACAAATAATTCTTGATTCTTCCTTTATAAAAAAACATGACATCGATATTCATATCTCTCGAAGTTTATTGTTGACGCTTTTCCGCGATGTTGACTGGTTCTCTTCGCTGCACTAATTTCGTGAGCGACTGTCATTGCGGAGTTAGGCTAATCATATTGTATTGTCTCATCGGAGTTAGATTAGATTTGTGGTTGAATAAAAGTTTAAATTATATAGAAATCAATAATTAATGTATATAACTACATACATAGTAATATAAAAGATTAATATTAATCTCGCCTTTTTAAGATTAATATTAATCTCATCTTTTTCATGTGTATTTATCATAAAATAAATTTTATGCGAATTGTCACTTGAGAATTATCGACTGAATCATATAAAATACTAAAACCAAAGTATAATTAAAAATTATTAGAAGATTAAATGATAAAATATGATATTCTTTAATTTATATTAATAATTATTTAATTTAAACTTTTAAACTAAGTTTTAATGTATAATAATTAATATAGTTAATTGTATAATATCTTTTATATATATAGAATCATATATATAGAATCAAGATTGATTTGAGAATAGATAATTAGCACAAAATCATAATAATTCATAATAATCAGTTACATTTTATACATTCTGTGATGTGAGGTGTCTGTTAATTATATATTTAGTCATAGTTCTCTGTATTTTTGTATATTATTTAAATACTTTTTATATATTTGTACATATTAAGTTTTTTAATCCAATAATTGTAACAATAACTGGTTACGTTTCTTTTTAAATTTTATTTAAAATTTAGATACATAGATACAATTTTGAAATAATTCCTCCAAAAATTTCTTCATTCGATATCCTATTTCTACAGTCTTCTGTTCTCAATTTTCATTGGTAAATATAT